AAATTTCCCCTCCCAGAAAGTCCCTGCTGGCGAGGAGTACTTTTTCAGAGTTCGGGAATTTTCAGGGTGGGACTTGTTCGCTGAACATGCTTATTGGTTCTTACCACTTCTTCTTTCTACCCGATGGCGCACGTTCGTCCCATCCATCTCATTGTCAATGTCCGCTGATAACAAACATCTTTTATATCTAGCATTACGGGCTTTCTGAATACGCTTTGGGTGCTCGCTTCTATTCTGCCGTTTTGTTAATTACCTTGTTAGTAAACCCATCGTACACAAAAGCAGCACAGCTTGCGCAGACTGGGAGGAGCAGTCGCACGCTGTTCAACGTCACTACATATTCTTCCCGCCCTGGACCGGTACTTTAGTCCGTGGTTAAGCAAGCGGTCTGGGGCAAAAAAAGTTTGTATGAAAAAAGTTCCTGGGACAAATAGTTCCAGGTAATTGCGGTGGAAACACGGCTTAAGTATAAAAATGCTTTTTGGGGCCACTGTATCGCAACACAGAGGTAAAGCCAAAACACTTACAAAAAACAGTAAAAAGGGGACTATTAATGGGATGAACTTGAATTTCACTTTATTTTGATGGTCCCTTTTATTATGTAGACTATAAGTATCGTTGCACTTACATGTCTACTAACTCTCATTAGAGTGTTATTAGAGTATTGGTAGACTGGTTTAGGGATAGAATAAGTTGAGGTACTTGCAAAGTTACTTACAGTCAGTAGAATGTCTGTTGGGGGACCATCACAATAAAGAGTCAGCAGATATTATACTCGCTCCGAGAATTTGAACCATCATCTGTCTCTAGTGTGCCTCTTGAGGCCAGGGGAGTGAGGTTTACCCGCACAGCTCTTACTAGCTTGCTTCCGTTATGCTCACTCCCCTAAACCCCACTGCCCGTCACGGCACCACATGTAACTGGTCCTACTCAACCTGCTCTGAGCGCGATTCGAAGCGGCGTCTCTGGCATGGGAGGCGGGACGCTAAAATGCTAACATAAGTCGCTAGCATGCCTCAGGTCAGGTCATACAGCTCTTACTAGCTTGAATCTATTACATATACATATTTTATGATACAGATTTAAAACATTCACCTAAAATTATATGGATGCTATATTGTGGTTGTGAGGTTTTTCGCCTAAGCCTCACCTTTATCCTGTGGTGTTGATAGCAGCTCTGGTGACCAAACTGTCAGTGCGCAGTGCTTGAAAGATGCTAAGCAGCAGGGCAATGCTGAGGTTGCGAGTTGTTACTCCGCAAGTGGAGTATGATCTTAGGGTGCAAGAGATATTGTAGTACAAAAAGACTGCAATGTAGATACTGCAAAAACATTTAAATCAAAAGAGAGTTCAAGATTTGACGGCAAAAAAAAGGTCTAACATGGGCTGGCCATTTTCAATCAAAGTGCAAAAAAATATAGCACGTGTCTTGTTCTTTCTATGAGGTTGGGACTTGTGAATGATTTCTGGTTTTGGTTAGTTTCAATAAAGGCGTCTCCAGTAGTGTAATCAGTCATGCAAAGCAAAGTTGACGCCCCACCTGGAGACTGGTTTTAGGATGTCAGAAACATTGTGGTGAGAAGAGCTCAACAGATTATGCAAAAAAAATAAAATCCTAAACTAATCTTACATCGAGCAAGACTTTGGGTGCCAAAGTAGCCTCATTCTAAAATCTACCATTTTAAGTTGGTTTTTCCCTATTGTGTTTTGTATTAAAGATTTAAGATTGTTGTTTGAGTGGCACAATAAGTTTGTGGAAGGAACTTATCGGGCCCAATTTTTACGATCAAAACGCATGGTCTAAAGCGCAGGCCGCAAGTGCACAAGTTTCACAACGGGAAAAATGGTTAGTGCGCCAGGCGCTAAAAGGGTTGTCCCTATTCACTTGAGTAATGGGTTTATTTTGGGATTTATGTGTGTTAAACCAGTCTTGGTCTCATCTCCCCTTCCCTTTAAATGCCATTTGCGCCATGGCGGATGTGGTATTTCAGCCCATTCTCATCCTTTAGCGTCACATAGAACGCTATATGACAAAACGGCGCTATACTACGCACATGGCACCCTTTATCGTTAATATAACACACGAACCCAAGGCGTCATAAATCGTTTAGCGTAATATGAGACTACCCTACCCTAAACCTACCCATCACAGCGCGTGTTATATTAACGATAATGGGTGCCATGTGCGTAGTATAGTGCCGTTTTGTCATATAGCGTTCTATATGACGCTAAAAGATGAGAATGCGTTGGCTATTTACATGACGGAATTTGATAGTGGAAAAAGACTAAACGTGTCTCCAAGGCAAAGACAAGGTAAAAGTGCGCATGCAGATCATCTACGGGACAAGCCGGATCATCATATCTTTATGAACACAATAATAATCTTTGTAACATTGTAACATTTGTTACATTGTAATCCTTTTATTTAAGATATTTGGCATGTTTGTGTGCTGCTGTCTATCCCTGTGTGTTTAATAAGCAGAGTGTACACGTGTTGGTGATCCATCTATAGGCGCACTTTACTAATGTGCTCTTTAAATAAAATTTAATATATATATATATATATAGTATATATATATATATATATATACATATATATTTGGGCAGTCTAATTCTGTTGCCTCAAAATAGCAACCGGTCAACAGTTCGCCTGAACACACCTTGTTTTCAGACCAGCAGCCTATGGGTGCACAAATGTGTGCAAATGCATTTGCTATTTAAACAACTTGGTGCAGGACGTGAAAATGAAAACTGCGTCGGACTAAAACTAGCAAAATACACTTACGTTGCCCTTGGCGCAGCATTGTGCCGGGTGTAAGATCCATAAGGTGTTACACAGCAGTACGCAGTACTTATAACGCAGTAGGCAACAGAGCATGATTTTGTGAGATGGAGCTTCACCTGGCAATTTTAGGTTGCAAGAGAAATTGAGTTCAAGAATGAAGTTCATGCTGGCCATTAAGGTAGTCATTCTGTAGCATTTGTGCTACTTTTCCTTTGAGATGTTTAAGGTTGCACTTAGTAGCCAAGTTTAAAAAAAAAACAAAGGTTTAAGACCTCACATTGTTCTCTGGTCTTTTTGTATATAGCAGGGAAATGGTGACGTTGTGTGTTTGTATGCAAAATGAATTGAAGTAAGAAGAGATTTAAATTGCTAATGCAAGACAGGTCTAACACTGGCTGTCCATCTTCAGAGGCAGACACCCTGTAGCATATTCTAAGCTTTACAGGGTTTCTCAACTCACCCTGGCTCTCGAGGTCCACTGTCCTGCAGAGTTTATCTTAAAGACTTTGATTAGCTTGTTCAGGTGTGTTTGATTAGGGTTGGAGATTTTCTAAAATGAAGGACCACAATGGAAATAAGTTAAAGGGTTAGTTCACCCAAAAATGAAAATTCTGTCAGTATTTACTCACCCTCATGTTGTTCCAACCCCGTAAGACCTTCGTTCATCTTCGCAACACAAATTAAGATATTTAAGATATTAAGATTGCTCCTGCATACAGTCCGTAGGCTTCTTGAGGGACTGGCTCTTACTGTCCCCGAAAAGTCATTAAAGACATCGTTAAAATAGTCCAAGTGACCACAGGGGCACAATCTTTAGTTTATCAAACGACGAGAACACTTTTGTGCAAAAATAACGACTTTATTTTTTATTTTATTTCAACTATTCACTTCCTTCTCCATGAGCCTGTAAGTCAGTTAACGTAGTGTGATTGCGTAGAGCTACGTCACACGTAGGCTCACTATTGGCCGACGCTGGTCATGTGTGTGATGCGTGTGACGTACAATAACAGAAGCTTACGCTATTAAACTAGTAACCTGACTCGCGCAGAGGGAGAAATAAACGAATAGTTGAAATAAACTCGTTATTTTTGTTGTTTTTTTGCGCACAAAAGTGTTCTTGTCGTTTGATAAACTTAAGATTGAGCCCCTGTAGTCACTCGGACTATTTTAACGATGTCTTTAATGACTTTTAAAATGAAGAAGCCTACGGACTGTATGCAGGAGCGATCTTAATATCTTAAATATCTTAATTTGTGTTCCGAAGATGAACGAAGGTCTTACGGGGTTGGAACAACATGAGGGTGAGTAAATACTGACAGAATTTTCATTTTTGGGTGAACTAACCCTTTAATGCAACTTTATTGAGTTATCCTTGACAAAGAAGTTTTAACGCAGTTGTATTTTTGATTTCAAACTCTGCAGGACAGTGAACATCAAGGGCTAGAGTTAAGAAACCCTGCTGTAGAATGTGCTAATCCAGTGGTTTTCAATCCTGGTCCTGGGGACCCACAGCACTGCACAATCAGGGCATTTTTGTGGCCTTGAAGGGTACTGTGGAAAGAGACAGCCATACAAAGTGTCATTCCCAAATGAAAGTGAGCAACATAACCCCATTTATTAAGTATTCAAGGAAGTGCGATAGTAATTTTGCCATTTATAATAATGTGATGCATGAGACTGTAGTAAGGAGAGAGCTCTAAAGCTAATTCAAAAGACCAGTTTCCTAGCCGTCTTCAATTAAAGGATTATTCAAGAGGCAATGTGAAACATTGGCTGACCAAATACAATTGAGTTTGGCACTCTGTAGAATTAACACAGTCTCATCCCAAAAAGTCATATAACTGACGTCTTGGGACGTCTTTTGACCATACGTCAATATCCGCCTTTTTAGGGCCCCCTTAAACGCCGGTAGATGGCGATCCCGGGCCGTCATACAACTGACGCTTTACCTTTAACGTCAGTTAGGTGACGGGTTAGGTTTAGGTCTGGGGTAGAGTTAGGATCCCATAACCTCATCTACCGACGTTTAAGGCGGCCCTAAAAAGGCGAATATTGACGTATGGTCAAAAGACGTCCCAAAACGTCAGTTATATGACGTCTTGGGATGAGACCGGGTTGGTAGAATAGAGTTTTGAAAGTTGGGGCTTTTGTATGTAAGCTAATGTAATTGGTAAGTTTCCCGCACTTATGAGGCAACACATTGTTTTAGGTACAAGAGACATTGTAGTGAGGCAAGAATTCATGAATTACTGTTGTAACATTGACTGGCTGTCTTCATATGAAATGGTTAGTATGTTGCATGTGTTTTTGTGAGGCTTGTTTTTCTCATTTATGCTCCTGAGATATTTTAATTATTATAATGAATACAAATGGTTGTTGTATTCATTCAGTCTTTCTCTTGTTACTTTACTTTGTGGGAGTGGGACACATGGTACGCTCTTGTGTACCAAATCAGCTACTTGTTGCATTTACCTTCTCATTCATTCTGAATTCAATGACCTCTAATTTGCAACAGTTTAAAAGGCACACACCTTGCTTTGATTTCATTGAATTGCCTTTGTATCTTTTTAAACTTTCATTGTAATCGCACTGAAAGAGCATGGAAAACTGTCTTGAAAATTGTCTGCTTTTGTGTTCAACAGAGGAACGTCATAGGTTTACAACCCATAAGAGTGAATTTCCATTTGCGAGTGAACTAGTCCTTGAACTCTTTTTGTCTCTAGGGAAAAAGATGTGCTCTTTACCGGATGTTGCCAAAGGACGTAACAACAAAAGGTTGTCAGACATGGGCCACTGCCGAGAAACACCATCCAACGTCTAGCCTAAAATCACCAGGTCAGTGCAACAGGAAGCAAGCCCTTATGTAATATGTATGACCTCACAGGAAGGCAACTGAACAAAGGTTTTGCGGGTTTTTCTTTTTTTTTTGGATGCTCTAGACATACAGATAAAGGTCCACTGTGTCCCTTCCTTGAGGTTACAAAGACGCTTTGTTGTCACACTCCGGAGAGGAGGAGGGGGAAAGGGACAAGCATATGTATCAATTGTCTCCTCTGCTCAAGCTGCGTGGGCGACCTGTAGGCATTAGGCCAATCTGATTAAAAGTAAAAAGCTCGAACCCAGACCCGGGAATTGGGGGTGTTTTGGTGGCCTGTTTCATGCCTGTCTATCATGTGCTATAGGAGCTGAAGTCCTGGCAATGATAAGAAGGACGAACTTTGACTGTCAGCAAACTGAGCTATGGATTACCACACTTGAGCAAACACCGGGTGCGATTAGCCTTACTTTTACAAACATCCTTTAAGTAACACATTGGCTTCCTGATGCACGATACAACAAATGTCATGATATATGATAGGGTAAAAATAAACAAGCTGCCAAGTTTGAACATTCATTATTTTCCCCCTCCAAGCCTTTAAGAACCATTATACCTTATAAAATGAGGTTGAATAAGAAAATAAAATAAGAATAACATTTTCCCTCTTTATTTCTCTTTTATTCTGTTTTATTCTGTAATTGAAGAGTTCAGATGCAAAAGCCTCTAAATGCCATTTTAAATTTTCTTCTTTAATGATGATTTTTATCAAGCTTGTATATTTAAGTTCAGTGATTTCACTTAAATGGCAATGCCATGTGGAAGAAGACAGTCGCTGCATATGCTTCCTCTGGATCCCAAGACTGCATGGATAAACTTTATTTTTAATGACGTTCCAGCTGATGAGGTAAAACATTGTCCGTTTGTTCGCTTCATTTCACTGAGAATTGTTTTGTAAACAAGACTGGATTTGCAGACGATTAAGAGTAAAGAACAGTGCTGTGCCGTCTATATGGATCTGATAGGAATTGTACAACAAAGGGACTCGAACATGAATGGGGGAATTATTCCGGTTGCCATTTTACAACATTGGACTTTTTCAAAACAATTTCCCCCACGTACACCGACGAGTGAGTTGAAACTCATTATAATATGCAAAACTGTTATCCACTCACAGCAGTGGGCGTTTACTTCCAAGTCTTCAGAGCGAGACGACCATAAAAACCGAGCGTTTTTCAGCTAGGCTCAAAACTTGGGTACAAAATAGCCTATTACTTATTCATTTTAATGTTTTTGAATGCAAAAACCAAGCGAACGTCATAAGTTGACCTCAGACAACAATATAATAAAATTTAAAAAGCCAGTTCATGACCCCTTTAAAATATCATATATTTTGAACTTTTTCTGTCATAGAAAGTTTGATGTAAGTCATGATGTATGTGAACTTTAGTTAAAAAGGTTTTGTTGAAGCATTAAAGAGCCCCTATCATAAAATTTGAAATGTTCCTATTTTTGTTTTGGGAGTTCCCAAAAAGAGTTTAACGTGCAGGCAAGGATAAAAATACACTTTATTTGTCTTATAATATGCATTTATTTTTTACCTGATTTGCTCAACGACTCCCAAATTATTCGTTCGACGATTCATTTTCCCAAACACCTCCTTTGAAAGACGCAAATCTGCAGTGATTGGTCAAATGACCCAGTCAGTTGTTATTGGTAAACCGTAGGCAGAGATTGTCGGCAATGGAACGCCTATAACCAGGATTATAGCTTGTCAAGTGTTGAAAATTGTATATAGTTTGAACAAACGTGTCAGAAAGCCAGAAAGCAAACTCCGTCAAGAGCAAGCTTTCCCGGCGAAACTCACTTTGCGGCAGCTTTTGAGGGACAGTGCTTATTATATAGAGCGTAGTCATATTTGGCTAAGTCGTTTAGGAGGTAATTGCCATTTTTCAATGAATGTCTTGTGAATATCAAAAACAAAACTAACTTTACCCCGCTTAGAAGCTGCGCGGAGTGTACACAACACACACAACACAATATAACTATATTGTGCATGCTACAGAAAACATAACAGCAAACATTAATAATACTTACAGATTGTGATTCGGAGGAGGACAGACCTGATCCATATACACTGGATACTGAGCCCTCCTTCAGGAACAACCGGCTTGAGAATCCACATTTGAATTCATGTTTTTGAATGATTCGTCATTAAAATGATGAGAACACAACATACTGTTGTGGTATCGTTGCAAATATGAACTCTAACCACTGATTCTTCACATGCTCGTCCCTGGGCAATGAAAACAAGTGGCTGAACTGTTTTTGCAATGTACAACACAGCGTCTTCTCGACATGATGCGATTCAGCTGAAGTATTTGAATGTGAACGGAATCACTTCCGTCTGCGCGCGCAGTTGTTGGGAGCGGCCAATGAGCTAATGTTTTGTATCTATCTACGTCACGGTGTAACACCTAATGACTCGTTTCAAAAACAATTCATTTCATAGACTCAGAGTCGACTCTCACTTTTAAAAGACAATAACTTTATATACTATGCACTTTCAGATATAAATCTTTGCAGGATGTTTTCATTCCCTTAGAGCTATATTCCACACTACATAAACAGTCATTTTCAAAAATCCATGATAGGTGCTCTTTAATACAAAAACAACATTAATGCAAACATTGCGGTTATAAGCACATGGCATACACAGTTTAAAGTAGATTTTTTTTAAGTTTTCCTTTTAAGTATCTTAGACAATCTTATTTGTCATTTGACCACAGCATTTTGCTCTCGAAGTGGTACTTTCTCATAATAATCATACTCTTTTGTGACAGATGGGTTTCTAATCGCCTAGTTGTTGTTAATAGTTTATAAATGTTGACAATCATTTATTGATATGTCCTGATATGTAAGTTGTTGACGTCTGTAATGAGATTTTTGCTGCTTAGTTTCCATAAATGCACATTTTCAGGGTATATACAGTAATCCTTAAGTTTAATTTACTACTTTTTAATACCTTTTTTTATTACCTTCAGAATTTTTTTTAAAACCATCACGACACTGAATTGCAAGTGTTAACCAGCGACCTTTCTATTACACAGATTTTAACATTTATAACATACAAAAATGAATAGATTTAGAGCACACATTCCATTTTTGTGTTTAGTGGATTGCATTTGCGACCGAAGTGCATTAGCTCCCATCCAGTTGACATTGATGTTTTTTTACACACCAAACAATAGAGGGAATGCATTGACATCACTTTCCCGCCGGTACAACCCCCCTCAACCTGACTGAGGGGCAAAAGATCTGTTGCGTGACTCGATTTAATAGGGGAAACTATTCAACGAAAATGCGACTAAAACTAACAATTTGATCAATTTAAATTAAATGTTGGACTCAATATAGTTGGACTCCTAACAACTTACTAAAGTTGATCCATGGATATTGACATGCAGCCAGCAATCGTGTTGCCTGACATTTATGTTTGCCTGATTTCAATAAAAGGGAAATAAAAGCAATATATAGATCTACATAGGCTAAAGCAAATTTGCCTGTGAACGCTTTATATAAATACAATATAGGTAGGTCTAAATCCCGGTGATCACTTATATCAGGGTTATATAGCCTCTATATATCGTCCAGCCACTGAATATGACGTCAGCATCAAACATAGACAGAGATGAAAGATCTTTGATTGTGCCCATATAAGCTAAAGCCCATATTTATACGGACTAACGCAAACACAAAATAGGACATCTGATAGTCTGAAAAAAAATAATACCTAATTTAAAAAAAATAATACCTCTCAGACTACATTTAACACTTTTAATGGCCTTAAATTTGACAATTTTGATTTATCACTTTTTAATACTTTTTAAAACCCCGTGGACACCCTGATTTTGGACGGAGGAGGAAGTTCTGAAATGTACAGCGTTTTTATAAAAGTGAATTCAGTCGTTTCAGGAAAATATGATTTCTCATGTTATGACCCCTTGAAGAATCTACCAAGACTTTCAGAACAGCTGTGGGAAAACATAGGATATAGATGAGGTTTTTAACATCCAGGAATTAGGAGTTTTTTGCAATGTCACACAACACTTCCACATTCTCCTTTAAACTCGGCTCCGAATGTTGAGAATTCCTCTGTGCTCTGAGCCGTAATGATGGAGTAAGCTTTTTCCACAGTGACGTTCAAAGGAATGCCGCAACAGGAACCAAATTTAAGTGGTGACCACAGCTTGAAATATATCTCCACTGCATGTCATTGCGGTATGGAATATGCTTGTGTAACAATTACTCAACTGAAGTTCGTTTGATTCAAGAGTCCCGAAGCTGATGAGATTGTTTTATGTCAAACTGGTGCCAATATACACATCACACCAATGAATGTTGGGGTAGATCTCAAAGCAGTAGTGATTACACACCCTACACACGCTCGCACAACGGACGCACCACGAGAGCCTGTTAAAAACGGTAAAAATGCCTCAAGGGAACACTGTGAGGTCTGTAACCCAAGAATGCAGATCAGCCAGGTGTGTGTGAAGTGTTGGCTTCTTGTTCTGGTACTCTTGCTTTTGAGATCCATTCCTAGAAAAAAGTCTTTCTATCCATCACAACATGTTAGGTAAAAATGCACATCTCTTTCTATCTAAATTACTTAATGTTGAAGTCACAAGCTTTTTTAGTTGAGAAGGTGATTAAAACCGGTCATGGAATGGTCATTGCCGTTTATTGTACAAATAAAATGGGTTGACAGTTTTGTCCAGTCATTCTGACAGTGGAATCAGATGGTAACATCAAGGTACTGAATGACTGGTCCATTATTTGTACATATGGTACATTATTTGCAGGTACTTTAGCATTCTTCAAAAAAGACAACACTATGTCGAACAATTTTCATGGCGTTATCAGAGAGCTGTTTGCTTTCTCTCTGTTTCTCGCTCTGTCTGGAAGCTGAAAGAGACGTGCATTAACCCTCTTGCTAACCCTCCTTTCGTCCCTCCACCAGAAGGGCTGAACACAGGAGCCCCCGGGGCAGCTGAAAGCACCTGCTAAGCAACGGATGCTTCTAGACAAAGGCACCTCTGTCCAGCCTCACAACAGTGGCCAGGCCCTTTCCTCCAGCTCGTCCAGCCCCGAGGTTTGCCCACTCAGAGTAGACTTTGCCCAGCCATATAATGTCTAACTGCAATCATTTTACTGCAATATTGTGGGTGCTTGGCTTCAGATCTTTCTCAGAGTTGCCCCTCTTTTCCATCGACTTTACAGCTAAACAATAACATGACTATGTTACTACATAATCCGCACGCTAAAAGAACAATATGTATCACAGTCTTACCTTCATTCCTTTGTTTAACTCTTCCAGCTACCTTTAAGTGAATGATTTTGGACTGGCCAATTCTTCAGCGTACCTTGAAATGCTGGGATAGGCTCCAGCATCTCTGCGACCCTGCGGAGGATAAAGAGGTTTGGAGAATGGATGGATGGATTTATATTTTTCTGTCAAGCAGGGCAGTGAGAATTGAGCAAAGCTGGTGGCACGAGTGTAAAAATTAACCTTTGGTATAATAAAACATTGGTACCTATCAACCGTTCTCTGAGATTTTTTTTCATGATAATCGAATGTAAAGAGTTTTATCTCTAAAAACTGTTTAGCGTACAACGAACACTAGTACTTGGGCATTTACTAAGTTAAAATAAATCGCTAGTTTACACTATCAAGACTTTAAAATAGCCCCACACTAACACAGTAACATAATGAGGGTCCATACATGAAAAACGAAGCATTGAAAACTTGGTAAGTGTACAGACCGTTAATAAGAAGATACTTTATAAAGACAGTTCACTTTGTGTATACAGACAGGAGCCATCTTAGAAAACAGTCTCGATAAGTCAAACCACGAACGCCGTGCTGAGTGAGCTGAACTGTATGAAGTTCAGAGAACTTCCGAACCGTAGGAGCGGTGTTCGACTTATCGATACTATTTTCTAAGATGGCTCCTGTCTGTATACACGAAGTGAACTGTCTTTTATAAAGTATCTCCTTATTAAACGGTCTGTACACTTACAAAGTTCTCAATGCTTAGTTTTGCATGTAGGGACCCTCATTATGTTACTGTGTTAGTGTGGGGCTATTTTGAGCCTTGTTAGTGGTATAAACAAGTGATTTCTTTTTACTTAGTAAATGCCCCCAGTACTAGCATCATACGCGAAACAGTTTTTAGAGATAAAACTCTTTACATTCGATTATCATGAAAACAAATCCCAGATAGCAAACTGACATTGAATCAACGTAGAAACATGACATTGAAACAACGTTGATCTGACATTGTTTTGCTCATCGAATTAACGTTGAACCAACGTCAGACGAGTCATTCTTTTAAAACTAACGGAAAATCAACTTGAAATCAATGCGTTGTTTCAACGTTATGAAAGCAAACCAATTTTCGATTTTCATTTAGCTTTGAAGAATGCCGCGTCTGACGTTGGTCCAACGTTAATTCGATGAGCAAAATCAACATTGTTTCGATGTCATGAGAGACGTCGTTTCCACGTTGATTCAATGTCAGTTTGCTGTCTGGGATCTCAGAGAACGATTGACAAGGTACCAATGTTTTATTAGACCAAAGGTATATTTTGCACCGGAGTTCTCCTTTAATCCGCGCCACCTGCGCACCACACCGGTCTCAAGTCCCACGGAGGAACTCCGGAAGGAGGAGTCACAACAGTGTAAAACATGTGCCAAATCAAATGTGTGTGTGAAGCGGACCCTGCAAATGAGTGGGAATAACGCTTAGAAGATGATTGGATGGAGTTTTCATTGAGGGACTGGCGCTTTACTTTCATTTGGTTGTTCATTGTATGATTAAACTTTACGTTGATCGTTTGCCGGTTCCCGCCTTCTTCTTTCCTAAAGCCTTTAACCTTGTTACAAATATGTAATACATATTTTTGAGAACTATAAGTGCAAGTTACTTACCGACACAAATTGTGTTTAATTTTTTGGGTACCGGCTTCGCCACCAACACTGTAGCCAGGTTTTGATTACCATATATTTATGTGCTTTTTGGATATTGCATAAAAAAGTGCTGGATGGTTCAGAGCCATTGCGTTCTTGGCAGTGCTCGTTTTGGGTGAGTCGTTGCTTGTGGTCCTTCCCTGATCCGATTCCTCTCGCTCCTTTCCTTCACTTTCTGCCTCTGCTTCAGCTGTGCCTCACAACAAGCCCCCCCCCCCCCCCCCCAAAAAAAAAAACCTTAAAGCTGTGATGAAACAGAAGTAGCAATTTTTTCCGTATTGTAACATATATTTCCAAGTGTAACGAGTTATCGAAAAAGAAAAACTGTAGGGTGGGGACTAAGTGGCAGTTTTATCAAATAAAAACGGAAAACTTTTTTTTGCGTTTTGGCTGTTCATTTACATGACAACGGCGTTTTGTGGGCCTGGAAACGCAAAAACATTTAAAAACGAGTTTCAATGTGTACATTTTTGAAAACAATACTGCTACCAACAATACTGCCATCTCGATTTAAGCTACAAACACACACATTTGTAAAAATGGTGACATATTTTGTGTTCAGTCTATAGGCGCATAGTGTTTCTTTACAAAGTGACATCGCCAGCTACTGTAAATCATCATATATTACTGCCAGCTATAATATCGTGCACTTAATTTAACTTAAAAGTTTAAACTAATATATTATATAGACTCATTACATGCAAAGTGAGATATTTCAATCCTTTATTTGTTATAATTTGGATGATTATGGCTTACAATCATCAAAATTATAACAAATAAAGGCTTGAAATATCTCACTTTGCATACACTGAGCCTATATAATATATTAGTTTCACATTTTAAGTTGAATTACTGAAATAAATGAACTTTTGCACAATATTCCAATTTTTGGAGCTTCCCAAAAAAAGTTAATACATTATATGCATAGATAAATTGCTCACAATAAGATCTATAACATGGACTCTGAAATATGTCAATTAAATCTTGTATGTATGGATACAAAAAAAGTATGGAAAATATTTGGTAATGTTATGTGACTATGTGACTGATATCAGCTGACCAACATCTTCGCATAGCATCTGAAATGTTAAAGATAAAGATTGTCATCAAAATAATTATAGTCTGACATCCGTTCCCAAAAGTAAAGAATTTTCTGCTGATTCCTTGCTAACACAAGGTTCACGAGAGAATTGTCTCTGTCTTCATGTGGCTAAATTCCATTTTCATTTATATTCTGTGACAATTTCTCTAGGAGAAACTGTTTTGTTCCTTTGAACAAATTGTATGAAAAAAAAACTCCTTCTACAAATGTTTTTGCATTATTCCTTACATGTAGTGTCTTTGCGAAGCCATTTTAGGAGGATCCATTCCTAATAACTCGCCTCCACCTTTTTCTTTCCTGTCCATTAATTTATCATTTGGTTCTTTTACGGGAAACACGGTCTGCTTTCCTAACATATCAAAACATCAGCTGAATTGATTTCTCCACGGTTTCCCAAGTCATGTACATAGGCCTTCCACAAACTTTGGGCACAGGAGATCTGGTAAAAAAAAAAAAAGTGTGTGTGTGTGTGTGATGTGTGTAAGTGTGTGTTTGTGAGCCTCCTACCCCAGTGCATTAGTGAATCTACATTAATCTTGGCTGACACGGGCCAGGAAGGGCCTCTGAGAGAGCCGGGACTGAGCGCTCACACCGCCTGCTCAAATATTTATCCAGGATGTTTTTTTTCACCAGGGAAAAAGAGGCATGTCGCAGGTTAACTAGATCAAGATGAAAAAACTCATTCAGAGGGATGCAGAGGCTCACGGGACCCGCTGGGAAGAGCGCTCATCTTAGTGCAGATGTGGACAGGTGCGCAAACCCGAACTGCGAATTCAGTGCCCTAAATTACAACATTAATATTAGTGTAAACCGGCAAAATGTGCTATTTTCTTCTCGTCCACGCAACCCCCAAATCCTGCGCGCCTTTGCATTGTTTTCGTGTTATGCACCTGAATTAAAATATGACGGTATCCATCTGTCAGCACATGCCAGATGAAGTGCTTCCTAAAATAGCCGTTTCCAGGAGAGCGGCGTTAAGCACTGTAATCATTCACCTGACTAAATGCACCAAGGGTGGATGAAAGCACAAGGATGTGGGCATCAAGTGGAAATACCAGATGATTGGCCCAAATTAGTGGGAGTGCATTAAGCGTGATTGCTAATTGTGCAGTGATTGTTGGAACTGTTTGATCCCAGTGGCCGACTGCATGCCTGGTGGGCTTTTCCTGCCAGTGTATGAGAACAAAATACTACAAAAAATGTCTGGAAATGTGACTAGAAATGTCAGCATGTGAAGACGCAAAACATGCACACATAATATGTCCAGACAGAAGCAGTAAAATAAAGGAAGCCTTTTTGAGATTTTGAGAAGCTCAATTGAGCACATGTCTGTATACAAACAGAGCGATCTCAAGTCACTTGGGCCAATTGTGTCCTTTTACGAAGTTGATTTTGTTTTTGGGGTGGACTAGAATATGTTTCATGCTTGATTGTTCAAAAAACACATCATTTTTCAAATATTTTTCATTACAGCTCCTCACTCCCCAGTCTGTCCCGAACACGTTGTTTAGTTCCGCTTTCAATGAAGCCCCCTCGTTCCGAAATATGAAATGTGATTGGTTAGCTGGCCCAGTGTGTTCCTTCTATAATTGCGAGTTTTGCTCTATGTAAATATTAAGGATGGCGGCAATTTCCAACTAATTTGAGATTGATTCAGACCCTGACTATGTTAAAGGGATACTCCACTTGTTTTTGGAAATAGGCTCATTTTACAACTCCCCCAGAGTTAAACTGTTGAGTTTTACCGTTATTGAATCGATTCAGCCGATCTCCGGTTCTGGCGGTTCCACTTTTAGCATAGCTTAGCATACATCACTTCCGTACCCTGAGTGCAGCAGGCGTAATGATATGACGCAGCACCTGAAAATAGTCCCCAGCTTGGTACCTTCCAATGTGACCGGGACTAAGTTTGTGGTACGGCAGAAACATTTCTTGATTATTACGCAGGAATTAGAGTATAGTTCCCATCAGCATAGAAAATCGCAACTTTACATTTTCCGTCGGTCTTAGCGCACGATGTATAGAAGAGTCAAGTTTTAAATAGGAAAAATATCGAACCACTTAGGTTTTTTTTTTTTTGAGAAATGCTAATGGTCTTGTGCACTTCAATGATGTATGCTTAGCTATGCTAAAAGTGGTTCCCGCCAGAACCGGAGATCGGCTGAATGGATTCAAAAACAGTAAAACTAAACAGTTTAACTCTGGGGGAGTTGTAAAATGAGCCTTTTTCCAAAAAAAAAGTGGTGTATCCCTTTAACAAACAAGAGGATCGTCCAGAACAGATTTCATGCACAGACTTTCAAGCATGGATTTCACAGGACGTTTTTTTAATCTTCTTATGCATTTTATATACAATGTTACACCATTTAATCATGGTACTTGTCAAAATACTATAATAAAACAAATAT